CCGCCGTAACAATCACAAACTTAGGGGTTTTTTGTGGGGCACCCTGTAGTTGTTCGGTTTTATGCCACCAGGTTCTAAAATCCGAAGAGATGCCCTGGATTTGTGCAAAAATCACGGCGGGATCACCACTAAAAAGAACCGTTTACTCGCGGTCAAACCTTCAGTAAATACAGTCCTTGTGCATTACTGTAAGGAATGGAAGAACATAGAAAATGTACTCCAGCCTGACTGCTTCATTTTCTAAGCTGCTGCCTTTGACTCGATTGGCAGAGGTGTATTTTGAAGAAAAATGACCGTTGATTTCAACTTCTCGAAACACCCACGTTTAACGAAGAAAAGAGTTCAGAAAATATGCGGGTTCGTTAGATTAGTGTGCTCTCGGTGTTAGCTTCCATGGTCGTGCTATTAGCACCTCCAGCTGAGTCCATAGCGTTAATCGGCTTGAAACTCCCAATCAAAACGCGTTTAGTTCTCGATTTCATAGTTGACACCTGTTTGAAAATCGGATTGTAGTGTCTTTAGACTCCAGGTAACTCATCCCCTCCCCCCCCCTTATATTCCTCTAAGCACGAGCCTCAGCGTGAATAGCACTTGACTAGCTTGTGCAGGTCTCTTTCATCGACTAAATTACGGCAAGGTCTTTAGTAAAAGCTGCACCTCGGATGTCTTGTCACCATCCTGGTTTAACGTAGTTTGGCCCTGAGATCAATCATAAAACGATGACATAAACGCAAGAAGCCGCCGTCCAGTGTGCCGTCCTCGCCTGCTGCTAATCTCGTCTCCCGGGACTTCCGAGGCGTTATGTAACTTGCCGGTGAAACAGCAACTTTATCAGTAGTGTCACCTCTTCCCCGGTGTGATCAAATGATTTTCAGACTTTATAGGCAGAAGTTGGTCTGGCAACTTAGCAAGCTAGAAGGCATGTTTCCATATTGAGTCAAACTACCACGCAAATGTTCTAATCCTGAATAATTGATATTACCTCATGGATTTGGACCCAGTGACTGGTAATTCTAATTGGTCGGTGTCCGAGATCGGAAAAGTAGGTTATCATATGATAATACAAGTACAAGTAAGTAAGTATATGATAATTCCTAAAGCTCTATCCTCCGGTGCAGTGTATGAGCCTCATTGGTTTACGGCGTGCACGTTGACCTAATCCAAACCAATTTAACCGTTAGCCGATAGAAGCTCAGGTGTCAGTCTCGTGCTACGTAAAACAGTTTTGTTTTGGCAACTTTTAGATGGCCGAATATCTCGAAACACTGCACAAACAGTTTGAGGAGAAGGGCCGCGAACTTCAGGCATACAAAGAGGAAAATAAGATCAAGATTGCGGGTGAAGACGAACGAAATTCAGGTGAACAGAAAAAGGAAGAACCTGCCTCGTCCTCTGGCGTCCTGGTCACCTAGACCCCGCCCGGCTGCAACAAGAAACTTATTTCCTTGCTGCAGTGACTACCTGTTGATGTTGTTCATACAGTCAACTCTTCAACCCGTTTCCCCTGTTCTCTTACTTTACATTGCATTTCCAGATTGTTGACTTGGACCTATCTTATACACGGGGCTGACTTGGAGGCCTCTGTAAATCTTTCCTGCTCTTTGTGACTCCAGCATGTTTATACTGGTCATTTGTAAGATGCAGTCTCCCGTCCATTCACAATCATCCAGTTATGTGGTGTCTAACAATTTTTTTAGTCGGGTTGGATATAGTCGGCTGAGATCTCGTTTTTCCTTCAAACATCTTGCCGATTGTCCATAGTTTATTATATTTAAGTCGTTCAACGTTTTAGCACCCTGAACTCCCATGGTTGTGCTTGATTTAGTGGGAACTTCAGAGGTTTTCAACCTTAAGGCCACTTGGAGCTCGTACGATGTTCAGGCGCGAGAGAGATTGCAGGTTTTCTAAGTGCGCACCAGTTCGCACAAGAGTTCCAACGATGCACTGCGTGCTTCAGGCCGCTGCCACACTTGTTGTGGGGTCGCGTAAAAAATGTTTCGTAAAATGTCTTGGTCTTCACTCGGGACACAGGGGACGAAGTGTCTTGCGGGACCACCAGTCACTTTAACCACTGTAGCTGACCCATTTACGCGTCCGTAGTTTAGTCTATGCACTGTACTCCCAAGGTACCTTAAAAGGCTGCGGGGTTTCTGTCGTTTCCTCTCGCAAGGTTCGGTCTCGGCTGACTGGCTGCTACTCGTACACTGTTATTGCTCGCTTCCTGTTGTTATGTTCAAATATGAATGATTTAACAAAAATCATATTAGTGCTCATTTAATGGCAATAGTTCGCTGTGGCATCTTTTTATAATTGATCATGTGTGACGGACGGCCGACAAATGCTGTTTCCTTCCGCGTTCAGTGTCCGCAGCCGTCAACAGCATCCGTCGTTGCAGGCGGTTGTTCCCACTTGATTGTTATTCAGTCGCACACACGCGTCTCCAACTAGTCGTGGTTTCTCAAGCGCCACTTGAACACGCCACGCCGCAGGGGGCCTCTACAGGCGACATCCCTTCGGGCAATCACAACATATCCATAGCAAACCAGTTGACCTCGCTTTGAAGTCATGCAAGAGCAGCTGCCACTGTCTCTCTCTTGTCTGACTGGACGCGGTCAACATCGGCCCTGGCTGCCTGAGACAGCAACGTAGGGTTCTGTACGCAATAAAGCCCTAATTCTGGTGACTTTTGTTTTTTACCTCTAATCGGAAATTTTGTCTGGTGATTGTAGTGATACGAGTACACCCACTACTTAGACCGCTACAGATGGTAGGTTCACTCATATAAGAAGTAGCCCGCTGCACAAACTCCGTGGACGACTTGGATTAATAAAAGGACCGCTGGTTATTCGGGCTGCTACGCCCAAACGCTACACCACGAATGATAGTTTCAAAATTTCCAACCCGCCCATCCTAGCCGTGATCGACGATGACGAAGGGTCAACCCGAAGAGACCTTTCTGGTAAGTGGAGCGGGTGGTGAGGGCGTACGACTCTTTCGCAGAACTAGTGTTCATATAGAGGCTGAAGCACAAGTTTGCTTTAGCCCACCTTGCACCGTCAATAGATTTAAGCATCGGGGTCATATGTGGACAGGTAGAAATGCGACTGAAACAAGATTCATAGGACACCATGCTTCCACTTACTTGTTGGATTGACTCCGCCTGAACTGATATTCCTA